AGGGCAATTGTAATGCATTTTGTAGGACATGGCAGCCGTTGCTTGATCACTTACCTCGTGACCTTGCTGTGTTATTACATAAAGGGGGGTCACATTTTGCTTTTAAACATCATGATTAATGTCTGCATCCCCCCCCCCCCCCCCCCGTTACTTTCGCTTGACTTCAAATGTGAAACGCTGTACGTATTTTGACCCAGACATATATATATTTGTAACTCATGTACCTGTATTTGTTTTTCCTTTTCTTATTTGTATCTGGCTGTGCTGATTTGTAGTTATTTGTGTTGTTCTAAAAACTTAATAAATCATTGTTTAAAAAAAAAAAAAGAATCAGGAATGTGAATTCTTTTTCAAAAAGTTTATTACAAGATTAAAAAAATACAAAAAATAGGTAGATATAAGACTGATCACTTCCCCCAAGGAGAAATGTTAATCCTAATAATTAACTAAGAATAATGAGTTGACTTGCATCAACTCTAAGTCTTCTTCAGCTTCAGGTTAACACCCTCTAACTCTCTCTCAAAAATTGCAAAATACAAAAAATGAGTAAATATAAAACTAACCTATCCCCTGTGGAGGATGCTAATGCTAAAATCTTCCTGAGAATAAATGGTTGACTTGCGTCAACACTAACCTGTCACTCTCTAACTCTAGGTGCGACTCTCTCCTTCGCAGCTGACCACTTCTATCCCAAATCTGCTCTGTCTCTCACTATCGACTGCCCCAACTCTTGTGTCAGCTCTGTTTCTAGCTGCTCTTTTTATACTATTCTTGGGGCAGCCTAGACAAAGTAAAAGTTTTCCAGTTACACATCCATCATTATCACATGACAGCAAGGTCATGGGGTCATTCATCAGTTTCATACTTTTTAGCTCAACACAAGACATTTGGTGTCATCTTTGCAACTGATCTTCAGCTTCTCCCGAAGTCCAGGATTCTTCATGAAGGGTTTGTCCACTTCTGAGATGCTTTATCTTCAGTTGATCTTCTTTTGTCCCAGCTTGGATGCTTGTTGTGCAGTTGGGCCCCTGTCTTCTGGCTGATTTTACTCGCATAAGCAAGTTCAGTGTGTTTCAGTGTGGGTCCAATCTTATCTCTGTGGCCCCACCTGTGGACTCCGTTTCTTGCCACTGTCTTTGGCACGTGGGAACTTGCAACAAATGTACCCATAAGGAATTAAGATTAGTGAAAATATAAACAAATTTGGATAACAGTAATGTGTGGACTAAACCCATCTAGTGTTAACTAACTGATTACCTGACTTCAGGAACCCACAGCATGACCATCTCAAATCACCCAAGTCTGCACGTCATGTATACACAGGAAAGACAACCATGCACACACACAAACATAGACAAACTTGTGTAACTCGAGAGAGAGAGAGCTAAGGAGCCGACGAGTCTGGCAACAGAAATCCCTCCACCTTCGAAGTTCTAGCTGAAGGCGCAGGAGGTACAGGAGGAGGAGCAGGATCGGCCGGCTCAGGCGGAGGCACCTGGGCAGCCGGTGCTTCACGAACTGGTGCGATGGCCCAAGTTAAGCACCCCCGACATCACAGACCGAGTCCCCTAGAAAGGTCAACCGTGCGGAGAAGTGACGGAACAGGAAAAATGACAAACCCCGCGACAGGCAGAGGTTTAGGCATGCAGTGAATATCACGACAGAATCAGCGGAGGACCAGGAGTAAGACACTGGTTGAAACCTGAGACCGGGATCTGCCGACAACTCACGCAGCACTCTGTTCACCACACCCACCCGAACCATGGTTGGACCATCGAATGTAACACGATCCACCGTAGCTGGAGAAAGAGCAAAGGAGATGTTATAAAAAGGAAAAAACTCCACTTTAGACTTATGCTCACCAGGATCCAAGTAATATAGAGAGACCTCACCTACATGGACCGTAGCACCACGTGGAACTGCTACCCATAAGGTTTGAGAGGGAAGCACAACTCGTGTGGACACACCATGACGCTCATAGAAAACATCAGCTTCTCTAGCAGGGGTATTAAGTAACCAACGGTCACCAACGACAACAGCAGTAGTATGAACAACATGTGAACGTGGAGTCACAGTCATAGGACATTTTGAATCACCTGACAACTCATCAATGCCACACACACCAGTGGCACCGCCACGCAGAAAAGGTGTACCTGGACACAAGAAGTGCAGGCCACGTGTGAGAGAACACACGCGCAGGTCCGGGACTAACCGGACATGCGCGTGTTCTCATGGTACGCGACGACCGGAGGCGTACGTAACCTGACATGTGTCGTCAACCCAGTTACCTACATTCACCACATCTCTTAATCTATAGATGTCATTTGGAGACACAATGGCTAAGTTGATGATGAAGGCTAGCTCTCTAGCATCTCGATTGACACTTAGCGGGATAGCACTGCCCAATGAGAAAGCCAAGTGATTCTGAAGAGCCATTGGGTCCTTCGAGGTCACCCGAGCAATCGCAGACCAGACCATGGTCAGAGACACGAGGTACAGAGGGATCCTCCCCATGAGGAGGGTATCGATCGAGGCGCTCACGTCCCAACCATAGTCGGACAGGCAAGTGGTCAGCATCTGTGTATGAGCATAATCAACATTCACAAAGGAACACAACTCATTCACAGCGGAAGTTGTTTTACGCAAAATGCTGCTATGAGTGTTGAGTACCACCATAGTCTGTTTTTCAGACGTGCCCAGCTGTCTCAGGGCACACCGCTGCTGCAGTGCCGGATATTCTCTGTTAAGCTCATCAACGTGTCGACAAACTGTGTTAATCTCGATCGAGTTGACTGAAGAGAATCCAACATTTAAAAGATTTCCAATTGTATTAGCAACTGAGAAAAATTTGTCCAGGAAACGCTTTGGCGCTTTTGCTGGTACTGGTCACTGTTTGAAACTGTGAATTTAAGTGCCTGAATTAGCATGTGACGGATATAATGAGAATAAGGCTGTGAAATCAGTTCTGATCAGCAGAGAAGTAGGTTACTTCCCCGTTTACCTCTGTATGACAACCCATTGTAATATTTAATAGCAAAACTGGATATTTCTACTCTTTCCATCTTTGACTTAGTAATCATTCGGAACATCTGAAGTGGAAGTCTTTATAGATAAATTCATTTGCAGCATTGCCACAAACAGGTGTGGTTTCAGATATCCAAAATAAAACTACTATTCCAGATAGATGCAAAACACGTTTGGATATCCAGCAGTTACACCCAAACTTGAGGAATAAAGAGATCACTTCCTTACAACATGTCTGCCAACACAACGTAGGCTAAAGGATCTCAGGCAATAACACGGTCCGTTTTATTAAAAAATAAACCCACTCAATGGTTTAGGCCACATGAAATAGCTAGAAAAGGGAAACAGGCCAAGCTAAAGACACAAAGCAAACTGGCACTTTTTAGATGGAAGAGCAAAACAAGGGGCATGTGTATTTGTTTCTTACATTTACCGGAGTAAAGGTGCTATGTGAATAACAAACTGATACTAGTACTAGTAGCAACGCTGTCAGGTGGAAATATTCCGGAGGCAGCGATGTTAACGAAGATGTCCAATCGTGGACGAAAAAGGCTTTTGACACAAATAACTTGAGCACTGTGTGTAATGAGTATTTGTTTGAGCATAATCATGTGAATTATCTGTCTGTTCTGACTATCCGTGCTTCCTCGTCGAATTTTCCTACCAACGCGCATTTCAACAGCTGATTCTGTCTGTCCAGGTTTACTGAAAATCTACAGCTACTGTTAATTTATTTTATGAAAAAAGTGGATAGTGTAAGCAGTTTAGTCATTTCATAAAAATTAACCCCAGTTGCTAAAAATATTTGAATATCCTCAGAGCAATGACGATTTACCAACTACTTTCACCCATGTCGAGAAAGTGATTCATAAAATGGAGATTTGTAAGACGATTTTACCGTTCTAATCCTTTATTAGACAAATTAATCCACAAAGAACAAATATGCTTTTCCCCCAATACTTATAGTTATTTGCTTGAATGTATAATTTTGGAGATTATAATACAACTACGATACATTTATTATATGTATAATATAAAACTTTTGGATATTAATTTGGGACTCTTTCAGAATGACTGTAAACAATGGGAGAAATTTCTTGTTTACAGTATAATGATATTTTAGAAGCCTTTTACAAGCTAACTGTCAGGTAAACATACAGCAAGCAGTAATTTAATAAAACAACTTAAAGAAATACTTACTGTGACCTTCGACGAGTTGAAGGTAACTGGATAAGTGACGAGATTAAACGTAAACTTCCACAGGTAGCGCGTCTCAATTTGTGAACAGCCTGTGATGCAATTATCGGCCTGCGCATGCGCATTTCCCCAAAGTAGCACACATTCGACGGGGAGCACGGATAGTCGGAACAGACTGTTGGGTTGTTTTTATCAACTTCCAAGCACTCCATCTGCGTTTTTTCAATTGGTAAATTAGGTTTGTTTGTCTAGCAATAACACCCAACAGCAGTTGCGCAGAGGCGTCAACTGTAGATTACAGATACTGCTATGAAGCTGGGGACAAAAATTTCCCATCATGATGCAAAAGAACTAATTACAAATTATAACAAACGCTTAACCCTTTGATGCATGAATTATGAAATCTTCAACCATGATTTTTTAACAATTTTTTTCATTCATCTTTAGGTGTGAATGAAACAAATTTCATATTTACATAAATGTAATTTACAAATAATTTATTACATGTCCACCTCAGTGGACAGTGTGCAATCTGAACATGAAATATGTTGGTTTGACTTACTGAAGTACAAATGGAGGGGTTCAAATGCAATAAAGTATTCAACAGGTGTGCTTGATAGTAAAAATAAATAAATAAATAACAATTTAAATTACCTGTCCACTGTAGTGACCATTATGCATCAAAGGGTTAATTGCAACTGTTGCTGCCAATTTTCTTCCAACCGGATTAAATGTGGATTAAATGTTAATATGGCTTGCCTTTTTATCAACCACAAGGCGCGTTTCCTGTCACTTCCGGTCTGTGTATGCTAGTGCTCTGAACCAACGATAAAGCTTTTCTAAATCACGCATCGTTACTGCTCCTCGTGTGGTGGTTTGGACTATCTCCAGGTTTTATTCCGAACATGTCCGGTACCACGTCGGAGCTCGACCTGGAGGTTCCTCTGATCGCGCTGAACGTTAGCGTGAGGAAAAAGTTAGGACTTTATCTGAACATCAAACACACGGTGGCTGCCGACTGGATGGATGTTGCACAAGCGATGGGTTTCGACTATCTGGAGATTCAGAACTACGAGACGTGCGAGAATCCGACCAAAGCTGTGCTGAAAGACTGGGCGGCTCGAAAAGAAGCCACGGTTGCAAAGTTGTTGTCCATCCTCGATGAAAAAGACCGAAAAGACATTTTGGAAGATCTCCGACCTCAGATAGGTGCTGTAAGCTTGTTTTCGTCCTTCTTTCTTCATCATTAGTGATTAAAATATACAAATAGCTTGTTTTTATCACTTCAACTCATCTTCTTTGTGTGTTTTTGGAGGATTCTCATCCTGAGTTGTCACCGGTGTTGTATCCAAGTGTGTTCTCACGTAGAAAGCCGTTCCGCCTCTGTTCCCTCTGGTAAACCGTACACATTCTGGTGCAGAAGACTTAAAATGTCGTCTTTATAAAAATAAATGTTACTTATAACAAAAATTGAAAGACGAAACCGAGCAGAGCGGACGGGAGAACATTTTTTGACTGAGTAACATATTTTAACATAACACCAGGATTGTGAAACTCGGATATCATAATTAGAAATTTAATTGATATAATAGAGACGTACATTTTATAATAGATCTACGATTTATTGTTAATTTAATCTGTTTTTTGTGTTTCGGATGGTAATTGTGTTATAAATCTGTTTTTCATTTTAGTTGAGGATGTCAGGAAGTACAAGGAAAACCTGGAGAAGAAGAGCGAGTCCCCTGTCCAAGTTCCTGAGGTGGACAGCTGTGTCCCTAAAACCCCAGAGAGGGTCGGCATCACCGTGGAGGACGATCCAGAAGGTTTGTTCTGTCTTAATATTAAAAATCTGGTTTTCTTATAAAAAATTACACAAATTTATACAATGCAATTTAGATGTAATTGTATAGAAAAAATTATTAAATTTTGTTCTATATCTGCCATTAGACGAAATTATTTTAAAAAGCAGATTAAAAGAATAAAAATCAGGCACCTGTGCGGCCAATTGCCACCCCTGCTAGACTGAAGAAAGGACCCAAAGGACCCCCAACACACTGTTTTTCAAATGTTTTGAGTTTGTTTTATATTTGAAGCTTAATAAATATTAAGAGATTTATTGACTTATTTAATTTATATTGCACACAGTGAGTGTTCAGTTGTCTTGCACAATCAATGTGCTGCTAAAATGTATATATCGGCCTTAATAGTCAGATATCGGCAACTACATTCTTTAAAAATCGGTGTCGCATTGGCCTAAAAAACAAAAATCTAATCGGTCGGCCTCTAATAGAAAACATTTGTAGCTCAGATCGTGTTCAAGGGCTATTTAAGTCACGCTGAAGTGTGTTTGTGAGAAAATTATGTTTCTTAAACATTGCAGATATCCGTTTAGAGAAATGTTCCCTTCCAGCATGATTCATTAGCTAACGCTAGTTGGAGTGCTAGCTAGTTTCATAGCGTGTTATGCAACATTGTCTTCTAAGTCTTTGCATTATTCCATCCATCCATTTTCATCCGCTTATCCAGAGTCAGGTCGCGGGGGCAGTAGCCTAAGGCGAGAAGCCCAGACTTCCCTCTCCCCAGCCACTTGGGCCAGCTCCTCCGGGGGAACCCCAAGGCGTTCCCTGGCCAGGTGGGAGACAGTCCCTCCACCGTGTCCTGGGTCTACATTTAGGTCTCCTCCCGGTTGGACGTGCCCAGAAAACCTCACCAGGGCCCATGCCACCTCAACTGGCTCCTCTCGATGTGGAAGAGCAGCGGGTCTACTCCGAATCCCTCCCGAATGACCGAGCTTCTCACCCTATCTCTAAGGGAGAGTCCAGCCACTCTTCGGAGAAAACTCATTTCGGCCGCTTGTATCCGCGATCTCGTTCTTTCGGTCACTACCCAAAGCTCATGACCATAGATGAGGGTAGGAACGTAGATCGACCGGTAAATCGAGAGCTTCGCCTTCTGACTCAGCTCTCTCTTCACCACGACAGACCGGTACAACGCCCGCATCACTGCAGATGCAGCACCTATCCGCCTATCGATCTCACGCTCCAGTTTTCCCTCACTCGTGAACACGACCCCGAGATACTTAAACTCCTCCACTTGGGGCAGGACCTCATCCCTGACTCAGAGAAGGCATTCTACCCTTTTCTGAATCAAGACCATGGTCTCAGATTTAGAGGAGCTGATTCTCATCTCAGCTGCTTCACACTCGGCTGCGAACCGCTCCAGCGAAAGCTGGAGATCACGTTCTGATGAAGCCAACAGGACCGCATCATCTGCAAAAAGCAGAGACCTGACCCTCAGGCCACCAAAACAGATGCCCTCCACACCTTGGCTGTGCCTAGAAATCTGTCCATAAAGGTTATGAACAGAATCGATGACAAAGGGCAGCCTTGGCGGAGTCCAACTCTCACTGGGAACGAGCCCGACTTACTGCCGGCAATGCGGACCAAGCTCTGACACCGGTCATACAGGGACCTAACAGTCCGTATCAGAGGGCCTGGTACCCCATACTCCCGGAGTAACCCCCACAGGGCCCCCTGAGGGATGCGGTCAAACGCCTTCTCCAAATCCACAAAACACATGTAGACTGGTTGGGCAAATTCCCACGCACCCTCCAGGGTCCCCCTAAGGGTATAGAGCTGGTCCAGTGTTCCACGGCCAGGACGAAAACCACATTGCTCCTCCTGAATCTGAGGTTCATCAATCCGACGGACCCTCCTCTCCAGAACCTCTGAATAGACCTTACCAGGAAGGCTCAGGATTGTGATCCCCCTGTAGTTGGAACACACCCTGTGGTCCCCCTTTTTAAATAAGGGGACCACCACCCTGGTCTGCCAGTCCAGTGGGGCTGCCCCTGATGTCCACGCGATATTGCAGAGCCACATCAGCCAACACAGCCCCACAACATCCAGAGCCTTAAGGAACTCCGGGCGGATCTCATCCACCCCTGAAGCCTTGCCACAGAGGAGCTTTTTAACCACCTTAGTGACCTCAGCACCAGAGATTTGAGAGGCCAACTCAAAGTCCCCAGACTCTGCTTCCTCACTGGAAGACATGTCGGTGGGATTGAGGAGGTCTTCGAAGTATTCTGCCCACCGATCCACAACGTCCTGAGTAGAGGTCAGCAGCACACCGTCCCCACTATAGATAGTATTGGTAGCACACTACTTCCCCCCCCTGAGGTGCTGGATGGTGGACCAGAATCTCTTAGAAGCTGTACGGAAGTCTTGCTCCATGGTCTCATCGAACTCCTCCCATGCCCAGGTCACACACCAACTCAGGCTCCTTCCCCACCATAGAGGTAACCTTCCATGTGCCAAGAGCCAGCTTCTGTAGCCAAGGATCAAACCGCCAAGGTCCCCGCCCTCGACTACCACCCGTCACACACTGCACCCGACCCCTTTGGCCCCTCCCACGAGTGGTGAACCCATGGGAAGGGGGACTCACGTTTCCTCTTCGGGCTGTGCTCCATGGGTGAAAGCCCAACCACCAGGCGCTCGCCAACATGCCCCACCTCCAGGCCTGGCTCCAGAGAGGGACCCTGGTGACCCACGTCCGGGCTAGGGAACACGGTTTCCATTTATATAATTCATCATAAGAGGTCTTTGGGCTGCTCTTTGTCTGATCCCTCATCTAGGACCTGTTTGCCATGGGTGACCCTACCAGAGGCAGAAAGCCTCAGACAACTTAGCTCCTAGGATCATTGAGACACTCAAACCCCTCCACCACGGTGTGGTGGCAGCATTATTTAATTATTTAAAGAGATTTTAGGGATATTTGTGAGTATAAATACCACCACAGCCATATAATGTAGCCCTCACTTGGGGTAGCTGTTGGCTAACAAGTCCTGTTAAATAAATGCCATTTCTCTAAACCGAGGCTGTTCGAAAAGCTAACTAAAATGGCTAAATTTATGTCTAAATGTCTGAAATAGCTGCTAAATTGTGTTCATATGTAGTGGGGTTTAAAATGAGACCACGCCCACACAAAAAATAACCCATACCTCTTGCACTTTTGGCAAATGAGTTTGGAAAAGATTGTTTTAGACTCATTTTTGTTCATGTTTCTGAGTAAAAACTGTGGAATGTAAGTTTTTATCTTAAACATCAACAATTTGTAAAGTTGCTTAAATGTGTTTTTAAATTTAACCAATTAATTTATTTACATGCAAAACACATGATATCTTGTTCATTTGCCACAGTACCATCTATCTGTACCATGCAGTAAAAAAGCTCCCAACTCATGTCCTAATTTCACGACTTATCTCCACTTTTAATCCTCCTCTTGCATCACAGCCGTGTTTCGCTTTCCTGCACGCTGGTGCGGTTTTCAGTTTGTGTGTTTTACTGGAAGTAAAGCTGCTGAGGAGTTCGGTGGAAGCCGTCTGTGTTGGCGTGCATGTAGGTTGCATGGTGTCTTGTAACAACGCCCCAACTGTGTTGAATCCAGGCGCTCCTGAGATGTTCGACGCCTTCATCTGCTACTGCCAGAGCGACTTCCAGTTTGTCCACGAGATGATCCGGGAGCTGGAGCAGACGCAGTACAAGCTGAAGCTGTGTGTGTTTGACAGAGACGTCCTGCCCGGCTCGTGTGTTTGGACCATCACCAGTGAGCTCATAGAGAGGAGGTGGGACGCTAGACTTGATAAACACGAGTGGACCCCCGAAACGCTGATATTAACGTTTCCCTGATTATGGAAAGCTGATGACTCTTTAATCTGTGCAGGTGTAAGAGAATGGTGGTGGTGATTTCTGATGAATACCTTGAGAGCGACGCCTGCGACTTTCAAACCAAGTTTGCCCTCAGCCTCTGCCCCGGTAAGACAATGTTTTATCAGTTTGATCTCAAGTTTCTATCACACGCACATGAGTATAACTTTAATTTTGTTATTGCAGGAGCTCGAAGCAAACGTCTCATTCCAGTCATCTACAAGTCGATGTCCAAACAATTCCCCAGCATCCTGCGCTTCCTGACAGTGTGTGATTATACCCGACCCTGCACACAGGCCTGGTTTTGGGTTCGGCTCGCCAAAGCTCTCTCGCTGCCATAAGCACCGACCAGGAGCTGAACTGCATTAATACGTGCCTCTTTTTATAATTCCATGGGAATTAGGAGAAAAATGGTCGGTCATGGCAGAAATCCCTGTTGCACTGGCGTAGAGTCATTGATTATTTTTCTGCATATTTGCCTCCCACTTGCATTTCATTCGAAGATGACTCATCTTTCGCGCACCTGCACAAATATCAGCAAACTTCTCACAGCACAAATAAATGATATTTTTAACAAACCCTGCAAGTGTAGCATAGATTCTGCTTGATGCTCTCTATATAATCGCTGAATTCTCTGCAAGCTTTCAGTGGGGCTTACTTCCTTTTTATGGTCATATTTTATATGAGATTATAGCTGATGTGGAAGCAGTATTGTTGCTGTGATACTTGCACATGGTCTTTTTTATCATTAAGAAAAATGTAACACCCACTTTTAACTCTTGTGCTGTTTGTTTTGTAAATTAAATTTTGTACAAAAGTTTTAATTAAAAGAATAAATATCTGCTGCATTGCACACCTGTCCTGTAAATTGTTTTTGCCTTAAAACAAGCATATTTTGCTTTAAATAACGCGTTTTATCTGTTTGTAACGTTCCTGTGCAGTCATGAAAGCACAAAATGTCCAGAAATATTCAAAGTGAAAGTCCTGGGTGTAAAAACAGGAGCAGCCACCAGGGGGCTCTGGAACTCACCTAATGTTGGGAAGACGTTTAATCTTTTCTTTCTGTGCACTTAATTGATTTAAAAAACACAGATATATTATAACATTATGTGAAGGACTTAAAATTGAATAATTGGTTAAAAAAACTGGAAACGTAACTAGATGTTATCAACTTCTCAATCCAGCCAATAAAAGCGCAAAAGCTACGAGATAAAAACATGGATAAAAAAGACAAACTCGTGCTATGATTTAATCCTAGAACACTGTCATTTTTGTGTCTATACAAGTTGCCTGTACAATTCCCACATAAAAAACGTGTCTTCACCGGTCTTCACACGCTGAGCCTGTTCTCAGCCCGTCAGCACTGTAAAGCGGAAGGACATGGTGCCTGTTGCTAACATTAACACAAAATATATTTTGTTGAGCGTCTAATTAGAATTCAAACTAGCAAAGTTAAACGTGAATTAAAGGAAAATAACTTGCAGATGAACAACTCGCAAAAAAATAAAAAAACAGTTTAATGTCTCTCAGGACTGCAGCGCCCATGGTGGTGTACTACTTTATGTTTTCAGATTAACAGCGGGTTGGGGACCTGCGTTGGTTGATGACGTCAGGATTGAGCAAACGTTTTTTTATTTTTTGTTTCACCAGCAATTTTGTAAAAACAAAGTTATTGTACTGGTGAAAAGCGTCATATTAATCTAGTAACTGAAATAAATATTATTAGATGACATACGTTTTATACAATGTACTATAGCCTAGAAACCTAGACCGTCAGTTACCAAAGCAAAATTAATTGAGGCTAGAAAATAAACCTGGCAACTCTACTTTTAAAGGTGACTTTATGCTTTAACATCTATTTCAATTGTTTTCTTATTTTCTTTTTTGTTAACTTTCTTGTATGAGGATTGGAAAAATGAAGAACACATATATTTATAAAGATCACAAAGCACTCCACAAGTACAGTAACAGTTTGAAAAATAATTAAATAAGCTTCTACTAAAAAAGAGAAAGCAATACTTAACATTAGAAAATAAAGACCACATATTTTTCATTTTTACTTCACATTTTTTCTTTATATATTTTTTATTTTACTAAAAAGAATCGAAATACCAGTAAGCACTGCTGTATCATAACATTACTTTTGTTCTTCTGCATCATGTAGAACTAAAGATACATTTTGATCAATAACAAAAAAATACAAAGTCAAGGGCTAGAAATTAATGTAAAACTGGTTTATTTTACAGAGAATGGGAAAGTGTCTGGAATTTGCAACAGAATGCCTCACGCCTACTCGCTGAGGACATGTTATGGAATGTTTGCTTCACTCAAAAAGGGTGAACACATCTTTATAGCCTTTAGTACCATTTTTGATATCCTTACAGTGTGCTATGAGACAAATAACAAATTAGTAAAAAAATTGTTTAAGGGTGTAATCTTATTTAAATGCTTTTATTTGTCTATTTTTACCTTTCACACGCGTACATCTGTGACCATACTACACTAGTCTAGATGCAAAACTCTCCAAAATGTAGATGTTTTTCAAAGTTTAATGGAGATCTATAGCCTGGTAAGCCAGACTACATATGTGAATGTAACTTAGGCATGTTTTTAGCATCCCCTAGTGTCCGTTTGTAAAACCGAAAGCAAAATCTAAAGCAAAACTTATCTACTTGCTGTGCCTTCGTCTTTTTAACACCCTAATCTTACAGCGGACATATAAAGTTAAAAAAATTATCTAACAGCTGACATCATTAAATTAAACAAATCAGCTGTTTTCGCGACCTAAAACATGCGTAAACGTTCTGGAAGCAGAGGCCTAACAGATCAGCCCGCTGACACAGCTAAAACATGTCCAAAGCATCTTTTTCCAAAGAAGAGCACTCCAGAGTCCAGCCAGTCATTTCATGTGACGTCATCATTAAGCGCAGGACCCCGGTCCGATCTACTGGCTTAGCTCAACACCGCCACGAAGCTCCACATTCGCTCGGAAGGAATGCGGTAGGCGGGGCTGCTAGACTGGTGTCAAACTTTGGGAATGACAGGGGTGCTGAAGGATTCGCAAAGACGGGGAAGTGTCGCCTTTGCGGGCTGTGTTTGGATTGACTGGACTTGTTCTCCGGATTCACCAGCGACCTTAACACAGATAGCCTGACTTCATCGGATTCTTTAGCCATGTCGGAGGACCTGAGCTCCCAACCCTGGTCCATCAATCGAGATGATTACGAGCTGCACGAGGTGATTGGTATGTCATCACTAGCTTGTTAGCACTCTGTTAACCGGCATTTAACGTGTTTTTATTTTTATGATATTATCTCACTAGAACATGAGCGTTATTGATGTCAAATGAATAAATACTCACTCTTATTCCGGGTTATGTTGATTAAAAGGCATTTGAAGAGTCGGCGAACATAACCGGCTGGTGTTTTAACTTGGGGATGGCGTAATCCTATCAGTGATTTAGGTACCAGGGCTGTAAATGACCCAAACGATGCTGTCCGGCTCGGTCTGTTTGCTGGAAATGATCTGATTTTCTCTCGTCACCATTTATTAACCCGACACTTTACCTAAATGACCCCTACTCTGTTTCTATTCAACCAGTTATGGTGTGTGGACCACGTTTTACCTAAAAAAATACATTTGGGGAAAAAAATAAAATAAAATCACTGTGTGAAGGCAAAAACGAAACAAAATCCTACCTAAAAGTATGATTAATTGTAATAAAACGAGTAATATTAACAGTACTATCTGATCTATTATCAGATAATTCCAACAAAATGTTATGCGAGCATTTTTTTTGCTGTTAAACCTTTTAAACTCTTATTTACAGTTTCAGTGAACTATTACACCATATTAACTCCTCCTCAAAAACATATAAGCAACACGTAAGTAAATTGTGTTTCATTTACACATTTCCCCATAACTTTATAATACATTTGATCTTATTTAAAGCCTATTAATCTTTTATTTGCATGACTTTCAGACTTAGTCTTAATTTAGACCTGCGTCCTTAAAGAAAAATGTCCTGATGGATGTTTTTGACCGTTTCTTTGATGAAACTTTGATGAAATTCTGGATCCTGCAACATGAGTGTGCATCTTTTTTGTGCAGCACAGTCCAGCTGAGATGAGGGCCCGAGGATGGCTCAGCTGGGGGAAATGGACAAACATTACTTGTGGAGTTCTGAAACCCTGCAAATAGCTGAACTCTTCTACCTTTGGCTTGGTGCACGAGGGCAGTGTGTAGCATATAAGCAAAGTATTGTTCCCTCAAATCAGCTCATTTATACCTTTTTTGGTTTACTTTACCCAAGTGGTGTATATGAGCTTCCTCTGCATGGTTTATAGAGGGTGCATTTTACCATACCGACATTTGACCCTTCCAGGTTTTTTTTAAGCTGGAGCACCCTTTCAAAGAACGTCCTGCACACAGATGAAGCCTCACTTGTAAAAAACCAGTTCTGTGACATTTTCCACGTTGAGCACAAATTGTTCACGTAGGTTTGACACTGCTCAGGTTTAGAGTGCAGCATGCAACAAGAATCAGAAGGTTATTGTATTGTTGGTTTTGCAAAGCATGAAGTTGCATCAAAATTTTGGAGAAATGCAATGATTTAAAGAAAATATGAATAACTATTAGAACCAAAGCCATATTTTGCAAATAAAAGTCAAGATGGAACAGTTTCTTAAATGGTTTATAAAATTGATTAATTGTAAATTTTTAATATTACAAACTTTGAAGCTTTTAGACTTTTAAACAAAATTATGATCCCAATGGGCTTATCCAAAGTGTGGCCTGGGGGCCGTTTGTGGCCCTGGAGTGGTTTTGTGTGGCCCTGATTGCACATCTGGAATGATGAGATTTAGTCTCTCCAGCAGGCTTTTAATCTCATTAAGTCTTTATTTTATTATATTTACTAATAAGAAGCCTTTTAAGCAATGCATACAAAAACATGTCACCATAAAATAATTTTTGCGTTAAAATGTTTATTTTTGTGGCCCGCAAAGACATTAAACTTGAAAATTTTGGCCTTTATCTTAAAGTTTTGACCATCAACATATACACTGTTTAAAGGGTTACATTGCAACTTTTTGACATTTTTAAATAATTTACTTGAGCCTGTATACGTGCTAAAATGACCCATTACAGGGTTAATGAAATGTCACTCAGACCCCTACCGCCCTCAGTGGCCAGAATATCACCCTTGCGACTTCGGAGTGCGAGCCAAAAACTGTCGGACATTATAAAAAAATTGAGTTGACATACCTGGTGCTGCAGTCTGCTTCCAGCAGGTTTCCTGCATGTTTCAGATCACGAACACAGCTGATTTGTTTAATTTAATGATGAATCACTCCTGTAGACACTAATGAAGGCTGTGGAGACATTTTAGCTGTTGGATTATGTTGTTAAAAAGACATGTTTTTTAATCACGGGAATGTCCCATTTGTTTTCATGTTGTGGGCAGGCCTTAATTTCCTTTTACTGAAGCCAGCCACTAGAGGGCGTTTATGGGGTTTCCCCAGAAAACTTGCTAGACACAGCAGACTGTGGGGGGTAGGGTGGGGGTGCGCACGCACGGTTCGTTCCGCTACCGTCTGTCGTCCGTGAGAGCACGGGGGGAGGGGGTGCGCGCACAGTTTGTTCCGCTTCCATCCATCGCCCGGAACTGGAAGGAAGAGAGGTGGGGGCGTGGACGCTTGGCCTGGCGACCCAACAGGCTTGTGAAGCGCTGGGGGATGCCCCTGTGTTTATTTTGTTCCAACTTCACAGATTATTATGGCCTGTGTATACCTTAGAAACGGTGTGTGTGTGTGTGTGTGTGTGTGTGTGTGTGTGCTTGCGTATATACCCAGCATGCTCAGCAGAGCCATTGTTTTGTCATCTTCTCCCTGGAAAAGGGGACAAATTATTAAAAGGCTCACACCCACTTCTTTTCACCCCGCTGAGCTCTTATTCACTCTAGACATCATGCCGGGCACAACCCAGTGGAATATACTGAAGCTGGTTACAATGGATCATCAGTTCCTCTAAATCTGATGTGAAAACGTTCAGCTCCCCGTGTTTGTACCTTCTGACAACTGTGTCTCCTCCATCAGTATTTTACATCGTTCTTAAATGTTTATTTTTTTAGTTTAGGCAGCAACAAGAATGGTAAATGGCCTGTATTTGTATAGCACCTTCTCAGGGCTCTACAGCCCCCCAAGGCGCTTCACAACACAATCAGACATTCACCCATTCACACACATTCACACGCTGATGATGATTAGCTACAATGTAGCCACAGCTTCCTTGTGGCGCACTGATCGAAACGAGGCCTGTTGAACGCTGGCGCCACTGGTCCCTCTGACCACCACTAGCAAGTTGGGTTAAGAGTCTTACCAAAGGACACAACAGCAGCATTCTCAGGTTGGAGCTGGGATGGAACCTGCAACCTTCCGATTACTGGATATCTCGCTCTACCTCCTGAGCTTTTTCAGCCCCATTTAGGGAAGGCTTTTATTGTACCATTTGTCGTTTGACATCTGGAGTATGAGTAGAATGCTTTTCCAGGTATGATGAGGAAATTAAATAAAAGTAGCATGAGTGCTAAACCGGCTCTGCGAGGACAGGAAAGACAAACTGGGAGCTGCTGCTGCTCATGAAGGAGGATATTGACTCAGGCTTCACATGGAGTCCTGCACCAGTAAACTAATTCAAGAGCAGGATAATCTGATAAAATAAAAGTTCAATCTGTACCCTTTTCAGTGCTTCCAAATCAATCAGGACGGTTAAAGGGTTTGTTGGTCTCGAATGTGAGTTGTCGTCTTGTTGAGTATTTTTTTTAATATGAGCGTAACCATAACAAAAGTACTCATAACTGTAATAATAGAGATGCATGATACTTCAGCTCTGAGTTATAAATAGCAGATTTATTTAACTTGGTCCGTGTCTGACTAGGCTGTAACAGCTAGAAGCCAGTTAGGTTCACAAAATGGTAAAAATGTAACATTTTAATATGGAATTGCAACAAATTGATCCACGTTTGTAGCAAGTTTTCTATGACAGGGTCACATGGGCAATCTTGCAATGTTCACAAACTGAATCATTTTTTCACATCATGTGTTAAAGTATGTTGATCTTGTTGACATGACTTGGACGTAGTCACAGGGTCAAACTGGTGTGTGTGTGTGTGCGTGTGTGTGCGTGTGTGTGTGTGTTGCATCAATTGGTCTTTTGATATTTGGTGAATTTATTTATTACCGTATCTTCAGATTTGTAACTCTGGAAACCAAGACCTAATGACACCTTTTTTCTCAAGTTTACATCAGTCAAATGTTGATTTATTGATAATAACTGAAACGTGGTGCAACAACAATGAGGCGGTTAGGTATATGCACTTCAAAATGTTTCTACACTCAAAAGATTTGTTTGTTTTCCTGTTTTTCCTCTTGGATCTTCATTGCTTTAATGTGCTGAACAAAGTTTATGATACCACTGTAAATGTACTGCAGTTAACTACTAGGTTTTACCGCCATAAAATTCAAACACCATGATGAGAGCAAATAAACAACAATACTTACAGGGACTTTTTTGATCTCAAAATATAAACAAAATCTAAATAACAGAGGAAAAAAATCAATAAGAACAAAAACGCCATTATGTTTTATGCATGTAAAAAGAATTTCATTTAGCCTCCAGGTGTTTTAGTGGTTTTCATATTTCAAGTTCTGCTCATTATTTTTTCGTTTGACTCCTTGGTCTTTGTTCCAAAATCAGTCAGGTGGGTATTCGACTTTGGCACTGATTCCTTGCACCCTTCTAAGACATCCTGGTGATGCAATGCAATCAGGGTGCACTGACAATGGTCCGCCCCGTCTGAGAGGGGGGCCCTAGAGGGAACAGGGGGGGGTGAGACAGAGGACAAAAGGTGCAGCAATTAGTGTCCACAGGAAGTGGCAAAGTCACAGCATTGAGTTGCTGTAAAGCTTGTTGCCAGAGCCACATGCCATCTTCGCCCCAAGACAATGTCCCCACCAAGGGCCTGCCAGCACCAGGAAATGGAGAGCAGTTGTCCCTGACCTGCTAAATTGCGTACCTCGGACAGACTGCACGGACCCCACCCATTTACCTCTAAACGGTTACACGTCTTCTTGAATTCTCTCTTTAATGTTCTTTTCAGCTTTTCTTTAAGGTAGTTGTCGACTTGTTGGTCTTGTGCCAGAATTTACCTCCTGCTTTGGGCTGCCTTCCCAAACATTCGACTGT